CTTTCAAGTGAGAGACGCAGCTGGATTCTTGCCGAATCTCTCCTCTATGAGCCCCAAGAATGATGACAGCCCCAGTCATGGGCTGTCGAAGAGATTTCACCAACCTTTCCGAAAGATTTACAAAATGGAGCGTTCCTCACATAGAGCGAAAAAACACACCGTTTTGCTGATACATAAGGAACAGAATCTTGTCGGATTTTACACTCCTCAAGTGCTTTCCTAATTATTCTTGTACAAATTTTGTCCCAGAAATGGATGGACGGAAATGGATAGACGGTTGACAGAAGTAACCCACGGCTGCGCACGCATCCCCTTCCGGATAAACTCTGGTTACATTACTGATTAATTTTTCGGTCACCACTAAGTGACCTCTTCTCAAGGTCATTTTTCCTGAGTTTCCTCGGCATTACCAGCCTCCAATTAATGAGTAAATAATCAGTCAAACGAAGATTCAACTACCGTCTGAACTGCAGCAAAGGACCTAGTGCTTTACCTCGCTTCCTGACAGGCGCAAATTTAACCGACCTGTCATGTCATTCACTCGTTGGAGATACTCGGTATTCCGAATTTATCCCTTAGAGTCGGCAAGAGAACAATCTCACTCGTTTCGGAACCTTAGTGTACTCCATGGATTGACCGCCTCCACTTAAAGTTACTTAATCAATTTCACAACTTGACTCTCATTGGCGGTAGGTTTCCTAAGGTCCCCGATTATCCGGACAACTCTCTGATTGTCAAACTTTTCGGTGATTCTCTGGATGGCAGCTCTGAATTTTCTGTGTCTTGCTTGCCAGAGTGCCCCTCACTTTCTGCCTAGTGAACACCTGTTCTTCTCTGCTGGAAGGTGGCTCACTGATGCGGTAGTTGTCAAGAGAGTTTCTCATTACACTGAACGTTTGCACGGGTCGCTACTGAGAATCCATGGGACAGTGATTCGAGTAAAAAAACAGTCTCACCGAATACTCAGACACACTTTTTGGAGATGAACGTTATGGAAATAGCCCGCCTAATACTTTGATCAATCTTTTCTCCAGATATTTTGAAGGTGCTCACGGAGCTCTGATCGTTTATGATATTACCAAGTCAGAAACTTTTGAAAACGTGACGGAATGGTTAAGTGAAATTCATCGATGCACCAACAACGAATGCTTGGTTTTGCTGACCGGTAACAAGTGTGACCTTGATCAGAGTCGGACTGTATTGGCTGGACTGGCTGAGCAGTTTGCCAGAAGCGTCCAGATGTTTTTTATCGAAACGTCGGCCCGACATGGCGACAACGTGGAAACAGCATTCAAAAAACTCATCTCAGGTAAATGACGATCATTCCTGTATATCGTACACCGACGTTTCGTAAATTCACACGGACTCGTATTGGCCGTGTTTTCTCCCGCGAAAAATCTACCTCACGCCGTTTTTTGTTTCCTAGAGAAAATCAACAACTCTAATGCAAACGATTATACTTGGTTTGTAGTACATTTTGTTGCCAGGCTTGTAAGTCCGTTGTGATTTTAGCGAATAAAGGCTGTGTGTTTTTAGTTAACACTAGGGAGAGTTGAGTCAGTGTGCGTTCAGCTCCCTTGAATGAAGTTCAGCATATCAGAACTCACCAACATGATGACTATTTTTCTACAAACCTTAGGTCTTGGTTCAACCGAACAGGCTCTTATTCCCACTTGTTCGAGGTTAAAACTGACCAACGACTTTCAAAGTTCTAAAAGAAAACCTTGTTTTTGAATGAATTTTCCACCTTTTGGTACAATCGCCAAGAAGAACATCAAGGTCCTTGTGTTTTTTGTTTCATGAATCCTGATTTTCGGTGGCTAGAAGAAACCAGGATATGACACCAATTACTGGGACAGCTAAGTCTTCCCTAATTGCAGCTCAAAGCTATTTTTTAAAGTCTGCTGGGTAGTTCAACATTGCTTGAACACTATTCACGTTCCCATCACTCACGTTTGAGCAGTCTTCCTCATGACCTGCCGAAATCATTCTGGTGAGTCTGCAACAAAGCGGGGAAGCATGGGACTCGAGTTGCGCTCTTGTTACAGCTGATCGATGCGAAGCGAGCGCTACCACAATTCCACCAGTGCGCGCTCGCTGTGCATGAACTATCGAGTCTGAGCAGGCGAACGTACGTCACGTGATTGGCTTGTCCGATGGCTCGAGCCACGACCCAGTGACTGACTTGGCTCTGCCGATCAATCGATCCGCCCGCCGGCTTGGGTACTTGTTGTTAGATACTCACCATTGCTTGGAAAGTTTTCATTTAAACAAGTTTGGTCTTTTCAAAGCAATGTTTAGACCCTCGAGTTGCCTGTGCTCCTGGATAATAGGTATTTTCATCGGTTTTGTTCACAATCAACACGGAATATCCATAATGGGAACAGATTCGACGGGGCATGTTATATAGTGGTTCAGTGCAACGTTATTGATTTGAGCTATGCCTGTTAGCCAACCTATACGGAAATGCCTCACACTACCGTCCAAGAATGAGTGAAACTTCTACCTGAGAATTAGTCACTCTGTCTGTTCATTAAGTTACTTCAGATAGAAGAGCCCACACCTCTTTGTAAGAACAGATAATATGGAAGGCTAACCAAACTCTTCAGTAGTTGAAGGACATTGTGTTGCGTGTGTGTGTGTGTGTATGTGTTGGAGGACCATGCCCTCGTGTATCTGGACTAATTCTAAGTCCTTTTTGGTCCATTGTAATTTTCCTGCTTTCCCTGATGCGCCCGCCCGAGTTCGTCAAATTCTATTTCTCCTTCCTCTTCAAACTTCCAGAATGCTACGAGCGCAAACGTTCCAATGGAATTCAGATCGGTGACTAACAGATAACACAAAACGATTTCGTGCACACTGACTTGTATGCGATAGCCGTATTGGCATTATAAAGCACTTTTGCATTGTATCGATCCGTCTTTGCCTACTTCCGGTAGCGCAGTTTTCAGAGTGAGTAACACTCAAAGCAGACAACTTGACAAATGGTCAGCTTTTGCGGAATGATTCAAGGCTTACGTGGAAAGAATGTACCGTTTTTCTCACTCAACTGGGGGAGCGCACCTTCATCAAAGTCAGCAAACTCGCAAACTGACCTTTTATCTGAACCGATTTGTGTCTCAAGTTCACAGATACCATCATCCATGACAGCAATACACCAACATTACGTATCGACGCTTGTCTGTCATATAACCATGCCGGACAGAAATCCCAGTAAGAAGTGAAAAGAAAAGGGAAGGGTGTGACTCCGAGCCAGGAAGCCCATGTTCTGAGGAACTCGATCAAGAATAAGAAGTCCACGCTGCGCACGCGTTCGTCGTCCGCACATTGTGCGGCTGTCTAGGTTTGCCAACTCAAGCTGTTCATTTTCAAGTTTCAGAGAGGCACAAGACAATGGGAACTCTTGCAGTAGGATTTTGTATTTTGATGGTGTACGTCAAACGATGTTTCTCGAGTAGTTCAAGCCCCTCTCCAGATACGATCTCCTTACTTAGACCCATTGGCCCTTGAAGTTTTGCGATCCATGATAACGTAGGTGACGATGGTGAGAAGAAAATGGGTAGAAAGCAGCCCTGACTGGTTGACCGGAAGTTTTTGACAGCTTATTTTACGAAAGAATGAAAACGCGGAACAAGAAGAATGTTTGCGAACTTCAAGGGCATTCCTTCCAGATGAAGAATACCCAGAAGAGCTGATCTACCAGTAGAGTCGAAAAAATCCGGCTTTGTTGTCGGCGATACGTTAGTCTGTGTACCAACACTTGACATGGTGTAACGGAATGGTCAATACCCCTCCGTCAGGTTGAAATCTCACCAAGTGCCAAGGATGTGTGGTAAGTACAAGGGAAGCCAACAGCCCCGTTACGAAAGAGGAGACACTTGTACTACCAAGATTGGAAAAGTCGGTTGGGGTAACTTTCTAAAACCCCTATACCACCTATTCTCCTCTGACTAGATTCCTAATACAAAGTACAGGTGGACAATCTAATCAAAGCGTAACACAAAGATTCCTCTTTGTCTTTTACAAAGCTGGAGAGAGAGCTCTTCTGGTCTAGGATGCCTCATTGCTGACAGTTATATTCGTAATTCAAAAAATGACAGGCCGCCTAAACTCGCAGGCTTTGGCCCAAAATTAGCGGGTTAAATGTATCACGGAACCAGGGGTAGATGACCAAATAAAGTGTCCGGAGGTTCACTTACAGAACGTATTTTAGCACTTGTTCCGCGGGCTAAGTGGAAGAAGTTCCGTGTGTTTCTGCGCTAAACTCTCTTGGGCATCCAATAACTGTCGTGGTTCAGCTTTCTTTTTCATCGTGAATGACGCTGTTGCGATTTTTATTCAGCAGTTATTTAAGAAAGCCTATTCTTGAGCTCTACGGTGAAAAAACTGCGAAAATTCATGTGGTTTCCAAATTTTCGAAATCATTCTATCTCCGTTCCTTATATCGTGAAGGATTAGTCTCCTAGCTCGAACAAACCATTATCTTTTTTGTTTGGACATAAGACACTACTCACAAAGCTGCTGGGAACTCTTTGACGACAAAAAAACAATTTCGCCCTTCCTCCTCGGCCTTATGACGTAGGCACGCTTTCTTGGTTCGCGTCAAACTCGTGTTTTATGCGTGCCTAAACTGGGCAGGATTCGACAAATACTCTTGTCTGTACAAGGATTTATTTTCGACAGGAAAATCAACTGAGTGCTGCTCAATCTCTCATTTATAATGGTCTGTCAAAACCAAATTGGTGTGCAAATGACAGTGTTTATCGGGTTCTGTCCAATTCGAGTTTCGGTAACCGTTGACGGAAACTGGGGGACTGTACCGGCCTGATGAGCCCGAAGTAGAGAGGCGTAGCAACCTGGAACACGAAGCGGCCTAGTGCAGTACATTTAGTTAAACGAGAAATCCAGCAGAATTCAGTTGAAATTCAGTTGTGAAAAACAAATCTTCGATCGAATCCGAGCATTCTTCCAATCAACTTTTTCCAGACACTTGTTTTTAGTGTAAGCTGATTCCAGCGGAAAATAGGCCAGCTACCCCCCTACCGGTTTAATCCAGTCCACCGAAAAGAAACAAACAAAGATTCTTTTCTGTGAACAAATCGAAGTTGTACCCGTTTTAAGATAGTGAATGGGACATTTCAATTTCAACTGGTTTATTGAAAAAAACCTAGTGCAATTAAATCAGGCTTTAAATCCGAAAATCCTAGGAATGTCCCACGCATTGTACTCTAAGGCGGGTTTCATCTGTCATTTCAAGACTGTCCTTCGGAGATGAAATTGCTCAGGCCTGACATTGAATGAGTATGCCCGTTTTGTATCTCAACACAGTGGTTGGATGCAGAGACTTTATGAACACACGTGGATGTACACGCACCTATGCACATCGTTGACTTCAGTGTGGCTGGTTGAATCAATCTTTGTTAATAAAAGGCCATTTACCAGGTGAAAATGTATCGCTTGTGAGTCATTGCATATTCTAAAGGGAAGGTACATGGAAATCCTCAGAAACCTCGTTTGCTTGTTTGTGTGACCACTTGTAACGACGGCGCAAACCCCAAAGGCATCTGTTACGATTAGAACAGTGATCGTATATGTTACTCTGTCCTCTAACATCAAGCGTGAACTTCAGAGAATGATTGCAGCCTGAACGGTTTTTAAAACACATGTCACAAGCAAACCCGAATATCCATGAAGTACTGCATCCCCGATGTAGCGATTCAGAACCCCGGTATCAAACTACGATAGAACTCACGTCCCTGAAGCCTTCAACCTTGTTGTCCAGGTACTGACTCCGACCTCCGATCGAGCACATGTGTATCATATGTCAAAACGGTTCTAAACCGGCCCTGACTGGCCTCCGTCTCATGATACTAATAATAGTAGTCTTTCAGCTGTAAAATTACTTCCGGTACTTAGTTGCCATGCTACTCGAAGGAATCACGAGGGCTGAGAATCGGCCAGGTTGCCCAAGCCTAGCTAGGAGCAGTTGAGATGCTGGTGTCGGGTTAGAACCACGGACCTTCCAGGCAGTAAACTCGCGCTTTAACCACTGAGCCATCTCGGGCTCCATCTGGTGATACTAGGGTTTGAAACTCAGTAGGTCATAAACGAGACTTATGTTAGACTCACCATGTTCTAGACTTGATGTCCAACTGACGAAAAACCCCGAAAGGTGCCCTACCGACCCCTTGCAACTCCCGCGATATAACTATAGACAGGAAGGGAGCAGGCTCGTGTCCGAATACCCGACCGACTCAAGGTTGCCCTTTGCTACACTATCTGCCAATATTCAATCCGCTGTATGGAAGTGGCTAAGATGAGAAAAATAAGGACCGTAATAAAATTGTAGATTCGCCAAAGACTCTGTTTGAGAGAAAACAATTAATAGATGATCCCCTTTTTTGCTTCCTTATCGTTAACGGGCTATTAGAAACAAAGCCAAGTTGTGCATTAAAAGCAGACATCAAATCTTTATACTTTTACATCCAGATGACTTTTTTTATTTTTTATTCCATTGTTTATTTATTTTTTAATTTTCTGCTTTACTGGTAAATACGTACCGATCCGCTAGAAGTCAATGTCAACCTTTCACATTAATGACCTTGAAGTCAAAAGCATGCAACTGCGTTACGGCGTGAAATCCTGTACGTAAAGCACTACTCATGGTACTACTGAAGTTTAGTCGTGTTCCTGATATAAATTAACATACACGTCACCAACTTAGGAGACAGGACGGGGAGTAAGGGGAACAAAAAAGTACTAATAATGACAGGTCAATGAAACCAGAAGTGCATATAACTTCCAAGTACATCTCAACCCCATCGGAATTTAGAGGCTTATCAATGAAAAAAAACTGAAATTCTCAAAGAAGTGAATCGTACTTTGAAACGCACGTACCCTAGAGTGATCACACGTTGGATGACCTGTCCAACCCTTGGATGAATTAATTATCCACACCAACTCTACGAAAACAGTACCACAATTCGAACCACTCAGCCTACCATCAGAAATCCGAGTAAAGAATAGTTGGCGGGGTTTTTTTAAGGAAATTTCGTCCTGCAAATGACCTACATCTATGCTGAAAAGCCGAGAAGCACTGTATAGCTGTTTCATCTTCATTGGGAATCATCAGCAGTGCGCATCTCACGAAACTCCGGAGAGTCTCGAAATCCTAAACCTCCTGGCTAGTAGTCTAAACACTTAGCCGTTCGGCCGCGAGTGGCTGATCAGCAGTGTGATTAACTCGCACTTAGACAAGATTTAGCGTCGCTCACCCTGCAATCACGGGATCCACATCAGGCGGTCACACGTTTTGACTGGCTCCTTCTGTCTAAGCGCGAGTTAATCACACTGCTGATCAGCCGCCCGTTGCGTTACGTCTTCAAACTACTAGCAAGGAGGTCGCGTGTTCTAGACTCTCCAGAGTTCGTGGGTATTCGCCAGCATGACTTATTGAAGCGAACACTCAACGAGTCAAATTACAAAAATAAGTTGAGGTTAACTGAGGATCTCGGCTGATTATGTTTCTTCTGAGCAGCCTGTTCCCCCAATGAACTATACCGCGTTATCTCGAGACTTGTATCAGCTGAAACTTGAGATGGTAGTTTAAGAATACCGTAAACAAGAGTTTCACCTAGGATTCATTTGGAAGAGACTTTCCCATTTTACGGACATCCATACCTTTCACATGGGCTTGTCTACTGGCGACGGAGTAGCTGGCGAACTGATTTCTAGAATAATATATGTCGATCGCTGTCTACATAAATGGTCACGTGATGCATTCTAATATCTGGTTTGAAGCTCAAAAGGCAGAGATACTCTTCAGGGTGAT